CTCCTGGACTCGAACAAAGTACCGCTTGCTTCAAATGCCACCACGTTATCCACTTAGCTACTGAGTCATGATAGCCACTTGCTTGTGCAATGGAGTGAAGTTTTGGATTCACCTAATTTGGTTTTACTTATATCTTCTCACTGTTATTTAGGACTGTAATTGATCAGTCCCTTGTTGGCAAATGTGCATCCTGCTCGTAAACAACACCTAGTGAATTTAAAACTTCACTCCATTTCACAAGCAGGTAACCATCAAGTCTTAGTTGCTAAGTGGATAACGCGATGGCATTTGAGGCAAACGGTGCTGAGTTCGAGTCCCCAGGTGAACACCAACTTTAGTATTCAGCCACATCCAGCTGACAAGTCCCAAATAAAACTAAACGCGCGCCCTGGATCCCACCGCTAGCCATTATCTATTTTTGCTTAAAAAGCTTGTGACATGAGGCTATATCGAGGCAACCCGCACAGTATGCAAATATGCCAACAAGAGACTAATCAATAGCAGTCCTAAATAACAACGGGAAGATACAAGTAAAACAACACCCAGTAAATTATAGTCCAACTGTTTTAAACGAAAAAAAAGAAAACACTACTATTAAAAAAGGATGCCGTTATAGGACATGATAATATTTAAGACAGACTGCATTTAGTTGAAATGAAGATTATCGATGCATGAGTGAATCAAGAATACATTCAATTGTTAATATCTATATAAGATACAATATGCCTAACTTTATATCATTTCAGCGAAAAATTAAATTCAAACTAAAAATACAAACATCACCGAATGATAGAGAAAGGTAGAAATTATCAACAACAAAAATCTTACACTATAATGTAAGTAGAAATACATTTTTCTTTCTTAAACGACTGCGTAAAATAAACACTATATATCGTAATCCTACATAAATTAATGTAACACAACATTGAAAAAATGAAATCAAATGAAAGATTGAAGTAGAGATACAGTATTTAGTTATTGATTCTTATGATCAGTCAATAAAGTAAAAAATACTTTCTTGGAATAGATGAATTATAACCAGAAATAGGATATGGAATGCACATTTCATCGGATACACACTATAATACACTAAGTATGTTTGCTAATTAAAAAATAGCATAAATGTAATTATCTTTCCATATTGAATAGTTTAAGTTGAATGTGTTTAGAATAACTTCAACCCCTTAAAAGAAAATCATATTAAATAAATGAGTATTTATAATTGAGATCTATATTTTAACTTTACTACACCTTTCTTTCATTTATTATAAATGATCAAATCATATGTTATCTTTTTGTTACATAAATTACTCCATCATATATACCGTCATGTGTTCACGAAAATTAGAAGTATTTGTAATGATTTAATAAGTTACATAAACAATTTACAAAAACATACCGAAAATTTGAAATATTAACATGTACCATGATTAATACCAATTTCTTTCTGTTTTTTTTGCTTTATAAAATAAAATTTGATGATTTCTGAAACTTAAGATTCTAAAAATAAATAGTGTCACATCGCTGCAGTTTGTAAAACCATGAATAATAGTAATGCCAATAATATCAATAGTTCATATAGGAAATTTGGTTAGTAAAAGTTCGGAGGATGTAGTAGTGGTTTCATGGTTGAAATACTCGGATTTTAACCATAAAATCATAGATTCATTATTCATTCCGTCTACTTCATCAAACCTTATATAAAAAAATTGTGCCTAAAAGCCTTGTCTATAAGCATGGAGATGGAAAGTGAGAAATATTGGTTTGGTCAATAATTTATCGTAATCTTTCAATAAGATCGTATTTAGAATTCTCAGCTAAATTATTGTTGTCAAAACTAAGGTGGATAAATGTGATTGGTCATGTTAGAATTCCGACCAACAAAAATCTAATACTTTCTCTGTGTGATATATCTCTATATTTCAATGCAATATATATATATATATATATATATATATATATATATATATATATATATATATATATATATATATATATATCATCCTGGATCACTGAATTCTTTCGGTTATCCAATCTGGAAATGTACATATATGAATCGTTGACAAATATTGTGCTTATCAACTCAGTGGTTTTAATGAAGCGTACTACTCTAGGGAAGATTTTAATCATAAAATAACATCGTTTAAATAGCTATTTTAAACCAAAAAATAGCTTAACGTTTATCAAAATTCTATTCTAAGGAAGTATATTGCCATTAACGCCGTAAAGATCCAACAGTTTTCCACCCACCGTGTTCCCGAAAATGATCTTATATATCAGAAATCTACTGTACATATATTTCTATACTAGTGAGATTGTTTAAATAGTCATATTAATGAATTCGGTGTTTAGATAAATCAACATATCAAGTACAACATGATTGAATCCACGACTGTATGTGCAGAAATTGATTTTCTTTTCATCATAACTCAACAGAACAAACTTAGATTGACCTGTACACTTACTAAAACGTGTTCAAGATTATCTTCAACGCTAATGCTTCATAGTAAGTAGTAATAAAAGTAACTGCACTTCTAGGTTGTTTTTTTTCACTGAAGTTGAATTATTTTTGGACTAATTAGTATTTTCAGAAGGGGTTTGTGGAGATTTTTAGAAATTTTCGCAGATTGAAATCATGAGTCACTTGAAGCTAGACCACCATTGAGAACCTGAAAGCACTGGACGGCCGTTTCGTCCTAGTATGGGACTCCTCAGCAGTGCGCATCCACGACCTCGCCCCCTAAGAGATTTGAAGCCAGGTCCTACTGGCTTCGCGCGCGAGCACTTAACCATTAGACCACTGAGCCGGCATCCGGTGGTGTTATGTCTAACTTCAACCAATCCACGGAGTTGCGCCACCATATACCATTGTCTGAGGAGTCCCATACTAGGACGAAACGGCCGTCCAGTGCTTCCAGGTTTTCAATGGTGGTCTAGCTTCAACTGACTCATGATTTCAATCTGTGATAATTAGTATTTGTCCGATATCTACGATTTATTTATTCATCTAAACCGAAATATAGAGAATGAATAAGTTTAATTAATTAAAAGTAACTTAGGTTGAGATGGTGAACTAATTACATGTATTTACATGCATACATACACCCAAAATTGTTATTACACTCTTAATGAGATTTAATCGAAATTCAACTGAATGATTGATTAATTGATTGATCGATTGATTGATTATTTGAATGTCCCTTTATATATATACTACAGTTATGAAGATGAAGATCAATAACTAGTAATCAATTAAGTAATATTGATAACACTAAACCACATCTATTTTATTTTGACAAGAATTTAAAATAAAATTTAAGACCGATTGAAGTTAGACATGTAAATTATTGTATGCCAACTTAACTATCTAAAGGTTAAGAGTTTACTGCAGGTTTACCAGGTTTTTTCGCCAACTAGATTAGGAATGTACACTACTGAAGTATCATGCTGTGATGAAACAGTTGTCCAGTGGTTTCTAGTTTTTAGTGGTTGTCAAATTAAGATCAATCTGTGATGTAAACTGTGAAAGGAAAAATAATTACAACTGCAATTTTTTTCTAATAAAAACGACTGGATTATATTGTTATTTATGATTTAATATCTATAGACTTACAATTCGGTAATATGAGCTTGACAATTAAGAAAATGACTTTAAAATGCGAATTCTTATATAAATAGTGAAGATAATGATGGTATATTTTTTAAAAATCATTTTAACTGCGATATGGTATATACGGGTTGTAACAATATACATCATATTGTCAATTGTATTTTGAAAATTGTAGACTAGAATTTTACTTAAAGTTTCATCAAACTCAATAATACTATGTGATAAAAAGATTTATACGTATAGATCACTATATTATCAATAAACTAAGGCACATATTTACAAGTGTTTTATTAATAACTCAAGTTATACTTAACACTCATTGATATATTTCCCACCAAGGAATCTAATCTGATTTCGAATGTGTTGTACATTGGATTGAAAAAGAACTGTAAGGAAAGATAGATAGTGGCTAGCAGTGGAATCTATAACACGAGCTTCATCTTATTTGAGACCCATCGGTTGGATGCATCTCCAAGAATCGAATCCATTACCTTATGCTTCAAACGCCAATGCGTTATCCACTGAACAACTGACTCCAGATAGCCACCAACTGACGCAACAGGAGATGAGACGCGTGTCCTGGATTCCACTGCTAGCCACTATTCGTCGACTTAAAATACTTGTGACTTAAAGGCAGTATCAAGTCGATTCGCTCAGGGTACACGCATGTCAAGAAAGACTGATCAAAATTTAGTCCTTAATATCAAGAAAGGGGAGATTCAAGAAATTACAAACCAAATAAGAAAAGAATTTGCTAAAATATAATAGACTGTTAACAGAGCGATTATTATACGTAATTAACCGTTAATCTATCTTTTGATCTCGCCTTATTACCTGTCTTCGAAAAAGCTGTATTCCATTTCTTTACAAAATGTTTAGAAGCAGTCACACAGAAATCAGTGAACCAATATATTAAATATCTTTTTGTACAATTACAGGAAACCAATATTTAAAATGTTAAACTTAAAGTTAACGCCTAAATCATCGCTTTAGCGTAAAAAAAGAATGTTTGTACGGAAAAAAAAATTATTTGACAGTAAAGATTATCGTTTATCTCTGAGAAGTAATCACTGTCTCATTCATGCAACTTATCTGAAAGAGATCTATGTCAATGTTGTAGTGCTTCTTTTGAATAATACACCATGCAGAAGTTTCTTAATCTATCGAACTTAAGGTTCTCAAGTATTTACACTTTATGTTGATATACTATTGTAACATCAAGTTCAAACATAAAAAAGCATACTTAAGACAGTAAAATCAAGTGTGATTTAATCTATACGTTAACCGTCAAGCACTAAATATAAAGTGTCTATCAGTGAATAATTTAGAAATACTTAGATTTTACAAAGTCAGTATGTATATTCAAATTAAATTATAATGGATTACATACCTTGGAGTTTTGACTATAGGTGTAGTTGTAAAAACTTCTGATCCATCTGGATTAATTTCCTTTTTAGGCATCCATTGATCGCTTTCTTCATTTGTTATGATTATTTCCGATGGAATTATTGGATATCTTTTTTTACGTCTTTCTAAGATAACTGGATCTTGAAGAGGAAGAAAAAAAAGGAAAAGAAGTTAAAAAACCATTAAAATTCAATTCACTAAAAAAAATGTTCCTACTTGTTTTTATATTCGATCTGGATATTATTCTTGAAAATTGATCTGTTTGATGTTTACCAAAAACACCATTACCTTGTTTTAATATTAATTCCTCATTTTTACATTCATTCCCATATTGATTATTATCGATTTTATCAAAATGATTCAAATTACAATTTGATTGATTCGATGCTTTCCATATTTCTAATTCTTGTAATATATCTGATATTTTAATTAATCCATCATTATCTGTATCAAGTTCATTGAATAATGTTAATGATAATTCACTAGATATATTAATTGTTGAATTAGAGCATAATTTTATCCATTCTATTTTGTTTAAATCACCGGAATTTTCAAAATCATAACTTTGTAAAAATTTCTTTAAATTGTCAATTGACATATTATTGATTGATTTATTCTTTTTGATAGGTAATATTATATTCTTTCTTTAATCATAATATTATTATATATCAAAGGCATAGTTTACTTTATAGAAATAATAATAATAATCCAAAAATCTCATTTAGAAATTATAAGAAATTCTTCAATTGAACTGAATTGATAAAATTGTATAACAACTCAATTCTTTACAAAATAAATTCACTTATCTATTTTATTTTTTACCAGTCTCATTGTCTTTTTTACATACTTTTATTAGTCACATTATTATGTGTGCATTTTATGTAATAAAAACAATCATAATTCTGCACAAAGTGAAGGTCATCTATACTCAATTCACCATACAAACAACTTCTAACTCTAATTTGATTGGTTAATTACTTATATAAGTATTATATTATATTAGTAGACTAAATTTGATAGTATATTAACTTTGACAAACAACAAAATAGCAAATGGCAAAAATCACTTTTGTTAGATTCAAACTGAAGTTAAGTGGTTAATGAAATTTATGCAATTAATGAAGCAACTTATTTTAAGAAATATTAATCTCAATGGTTAAGATCATGAATCATTTGAAGCTAGACCACCATGGAAAACCTGGAAGCACTGGACGGCCGTTTCGTCCTATTGTGCGACTCCTCAACAGTGCGCATCCACGACATCAATCCCTGCGGGATTCGAACCCAGAACCTACTGGTTTCGCGCGTGAGCACTTAATATTAATCTGTTATAAATTGTGAATTTTATATAACAAACACCAGTGATAATGATTACTAAAGTACTGAAGAAAAAAAAGAAAATTTCAACCATAATATAAATCAGTAATAAACATTTTGAAACTAGAAATAAGAGTAAAAGACAATACACGTTATATAATATCAAAAGAAAAGACATTTCACCAATAAAATCAACCGAACATATTAAAATGTTATAACAAACATGTCGTTAAATTTAAGTTTCCATTTTTAACTAAAATTCAAACTAGTATGTTTTCTTAAAAAGATTCAAATGAAGCAGTGATATTATTATCGTCATCATCATCATCCTCAAAAATTAAATATTTCTGTTCCTAAGGAAGATTATTTGTTTATGAATGAATAATAGAAACGACTAAGAAATTACTTAACACAATAAGTAGGTTATATGTTGAAGAGAAGATATATTGGAAAAAATGTTCGCCTACTGTAATCATCCACTGACAAGACTAGGAACTAAAAAATAAAATTAGTAATCACCTTAAGAATCGTTTTCATATACCTGACAGTTGGTACTTTCTCCTTATCTTCATTGTCCATTTGATTGACATAGAGAACAGTTTAACTACGGTAATTGACAGCTGTTCAACCTTACAACCAGAGAGATCAACAATTCTCCATCGATATTTTAGGAGATTACAGTATCCGGTCATTGGTCATAATTAAAAGAGTATCTAATCTCATTATAATGAATTCTTTGGTACTACGAAGAATAGATAACATGTCTCATTGTGCTACTAATTTACTTATCATCTGTTAGAAAATGTCTTCTTTATGCGTATACTACTATATTACAAACAAAAACATCCCAGTTATAGATAACAATAACTGTTATGAAGAGGCGAGATTTATATCTTATCTTCATCAAAGTTAGCCAGATGAAAAGTGTATCTCAAAATTAATTGATCGCTCCATAGAAAAGTAAACTTTGAATCCAAAAAGGTTAGCTCTAAATTTCCATGATAATCACTGTGAAGTGTAACTGCAGTGATGATGTCTAATCATTCGTATATGAAGTCTATTTACTCGTAGATGTTCATCAATTCAGCCGGTTAGAATAAGTTTAGGCATCAAAAGGCATGTCCCAACTTGGAATCCTCAAAGCAAAAAGAAGAAAGATAAACCGAAGAACATATGGCGCCGGGAACTGGAGGTAATCATCTAAAGAATGGATAGTACCTAGCAACAACTCGAAGGGAAAACCCAATATAGAGTCAGTTGAGGATTCCTGGTCGATGTCCTATGCCCCATGACGGGTAACAGCCTAACTTAAGTAAGGTTCAGTTCTAATGGTAACTAAGATAGCCACTTCGCAAAAAGTGGCCCATTCATTTTTAAGTCAAGCTGTTCCAAACTATCGTCAGTAAAGAAGTTAAACATTGGAGAGTATGATATTTAGTGATATTATTGGTCATTCGGTGTACTCCTCACCCATCTCTCGTAACAATTTTTCTTAATGGTTGAATATAACACTGGGTTTATATTTGAAAATAAATAGGTCTGTATTTGCACATCGATCTTAAATACCACATTTTCATATATTTGGTTTATTGAATTATACTTTTTGTATTTTCCGGAAACTATAGTGAGTACTAATAAGTAATCTATCAACATTCTTGTTTCGGTAAAAATTTACACTTAGTGAATGCATTGCAAAACTCAAATATCTGTCTTAATTACCATGATATATGTTGGAGTATGTATTCATCACATGATGTAGTTAAGCTCTAAGTGGGATGGTTAGTGGCCTTCAACAGTAAACACTCAGTTACCACAACGTAAAATACACGAGGTTCCAAGTGATTTCTCAGAACATCTTATTTATCAGTTCAACCAACCACCAAACAACATTCACAATATTAACGTAGTTTCGTGTGTATAAATAGTATACAACTAACTTGACCATAACTGACCACTTTAAAAAACCTACTTTAATTTTAATGTTTTAAGAAATAGGAATTAGCATGAAATCATGTGGCCGACGTTTTATAGGGTAAATGAGGAAAACCAGTGGATGTTGACTGTATTTCCTATAATTTTCTTTAAACATTTATGAAGCGATGAGGTTATCAAACATATGTTATTTATTAATGACAAGACATCAATGTTGTTTTTGACCTCTAGTGAGACTATCCAAGTGACATCAACATCTTAGATAATTATTCCCTTTATTCTGCTTACACAAATTCCAGCGTTCAACTTGATATTAGTTAAATTCACCGTGGTACGATGTAGCTTTCTTATTATACTCACTGATTGTATTAGAAATATTCCTAAATTTAAGCTGTTTTTTTCTAATCGATGGCAATCTAATATGACGCCTATTCTAGAACCAAAATAATTAAGATTACTGACAAGATTATTAATACACCTTACTGGCTAATGACGATAGATGCAAAATCAAAACCCTGAAAGTAAGTACCCAGACAATTAAACAAGTTAGTGGCCATCTGGAGTTAGCAACGAAGTAAATAATGCATTGGGGTTGAAAGCGAGATGTGTTAGATTCAAGTTCCAGTATGAACATTAACAAGAGGATGTACGTACTTTCGATTTACGAGTACTAAGTAGGACGAAGTGAGTGTCATAGACTCCACTGCTAGTAACAATCCATCTATCCAGTGAAACATTGTTTATTTGAGTACTTGTATCATCAAATAAACGTGTAGTTCTTATTATTTACAGAACATTGTTCAAGTAATCTCCGGGAAAAAATCCTGAGATATTTAGCACTTTCGCCCACATTGTTACCAAGAGCTTGTTTTATTGAATAGGCCAATACACAAATTTAAGGAGAACTAACATAGTTGGTCTCTTCACAAGTAGACAACTAACCGGTAGCTAATGTTCTATATAACACTGACTTTTAGTGGAGCGAAAACGTCACTTCCTACCTTGACTAAGGTACTTTCGAATCATCATAACTCATAGCATTTCCAATTTCTAACACAAAAACTCTAAATAAACATTCCACTGGATGAATTTATGATTGATTCTTGATTTCATACATCATAACACTTAAAAAGCTCCTACGTTATTGATTAATCACCACGAAGTTTCTTTCTTACTTGTATCTAACACCAGTTACTTGATCTTTCTTAATCTGACAAGGTATACATAGACTATCCGTCGATTAGGCATTTTCAATGATAGACTTTAATACCGTATTTTTAAGCAAAATGATGTGTCAAGTGTTTAAAAACATACGTCATTAATATGTATTAAGTTACCATCAGAAAGGTAAAACATTTGAGCATCATACATTTTCAAACACAATCCGTTCCAAGATACGAAAAGAATAAGAATTGAGTTCGGTTTACCACTTCGTAACAGTTATCTTTTGAGATATCTTACTGACTGGTCGTCGTCATAAAACACTAACTGTTCATTTGGTTTTTCCATCGATAATTATCAAAATTATATATATATATATATATATATATATATATATATATATATATATATATATATATATATATATATAATTTTTTCTCTTCCCAAATTTATTTCACTGGATTATACTCTTTAAATAACATCACCAAACCCTAATCTTTCCGATTACTGCTTATACTCTTACTACCTTTACCACTACGGGATTTGAATCGACAACTGCATCTCTGTGCTAATGTGGTATGGCAACTCGAACTGATGTACATACGTACGAAGTTCTACTTTGTTACTGACTTACTTTTTTTTAAAGTGATCATTTACTCAAGAGCAAGTTATAAAGTGATTAACTGAGTCCCGTTATTTCTAATTAAGAGAGAATCACAACTTTTTTATTAAGTGGAATGAATGAGTTGAAAATATTATCAAAATCTAACAGTGACGAAGTAAACAGTAGTCACTTATTTGAATAACCAAAGATGCCCCACCGAACTGACGTGGGAATAAAGGGAACAAGCAACCATTACCAAAAGATGCTCATTACATAGAGTTCAAAGAAATGGGTAACTACATAACAGAATAATACAATAACCAGTAGTTTGATGGAGATTAATGTCAAATTCTGATTATCAGTCATGACGGAGACCTAAGTGTTGACATTAAAATAAATTGGACCGTTGGTTTCAATGCTTTCAATGAAATACTCATTATTTTTTCAGAGAAACTTCAGGGTGACAAATGCACACAATTTCGGTCATCACTTTTAACCGTGGCATGATATTATTACCCATGTAAGATCTGGGTGTACGTCAACTCAGCTGCAACCTGAACGAACAGACTTTGATGGCTAATGACA